ATTGCAAATTAAAGGTGATTGCCTAATGCACCGCCTCTGATAATTAGGTTGTGTCTGTACTTACTTATATTATCTTGAAGAAGGAATTTCAACAGGCCTTTTACACATAAAGCATGTTTTCACCATATTATTAGAGATAATAAATCTTAAATATACATGTACAACTCTTACAACGCTATTAAATTATTTTCCGTAAAATACAAACAAAAAATTAACATGTGTCAGAAAGTGCCCGGACTGACGCTGTCAAATGTGGCAACGCTGATTAAATCAGCCAATTACAGAAGAGGTATTTCCCCGCTCGGGGGAGTAGATGTTGCTAACAAAATTTAGCGCGGGGAAGACTCCCTCTAGTAGTAATTGCTCGGAGGTTAAAGTTGAGTTTCTATAAATTTGAGATACCAAAAACCTGTGTAACGGTATTTTCATTTTTTGAATTTTTTTTTTATTTTTCAAATAAAATTTATTTTGTATTTAAGTATCGGTTTTATTTTCTAAACTATCGTACTGCATTACAAAAAAAAATTGAATATGCCATGAATATTCAAAATACCATGAATATAGGCATCAGTATATCCAGAGAATATGCCATACATATATTTTGGCAAATGAAAATATATCGTGGGCACATGTTTCATGGTGACCTTGAATATTCCTGTCATATGCAATGGCAGATATGGCATATCCATGGAATATAGGAGTATGCAGTTGAGATATGCATTGAATATTCATGCAACATTTTTGTGCTGTCTGGTTTGGGTTTTCCACAACCGACTTTATTTGGTACAGCTGAAGATCCTTTACCACACGTTTTGGTGGCTGATGGAGCCTTTCCGCCAACAGAAAATTTAATGCGAACCTATCCGAAGCGAAGTGTTACTGGTAATCACGAAAATAAAATATTTAACTACAGGCTGTCACGAAATGTTACAAACTACCTAAGGGGGTGTAAAGAATCCTGTAACAACTTAGACGGAACCGATGATGAAATGCCCTCAAGTCAGCTACTTTCATTGCGAAATAGTAATACCCAAAGTACATCAAACGCTTTTCTAAGACAAAAATTTACGCAATATTATAATACAGATGGGCAAATACCTTGGCAAGAAATCAAAATTTTAATAAGTAAAATCTTGTTATGGCCAAGACAATGATGTGTAGCATTCCTTTAACTTACGGCTTTTTAAATTAAGTTCTTTTCTTATATCATTCCAGAATTCATCCTTTAATTTTGCTTTTAAATATTTGGGATCGTTGGTATCTTAAAGAATTGTATGCATCCTCACTAATTCAATTAATTTTTCATCCATTTCGTATATAACCTCAAAAATCAGTAAAGTATTTTACCCAGAACTTCCCTCGATATTGAAATAATTGTAAAAACAGGGGAACTCTAAGCACTTACATTTTACGAAGGTGACCGAGCGGACGCGAAGTGAGAATTACGTTCGGGATCGGCTCCGCGAACGAAGCTAATGATTCGCTGCTTTTAAAATGGTCCAGTTGTATAAACCAGAAGGTTGATTTTTATTATTTACATCAAGGGAGACCTTTTTTGATTAAATACGATTCCTTTCAACGCCATTTTGAATTTATTAAAAAACTAATTTGGAATGTTATGCCAACTTTTAAAAATAATTATTTTTTTAAAACTGCTCTCCCTATATATAACTGGTTTTGAACCTAAAAGGAACCTTATCTGTATACAAAATTTGAATTTTTTCTCTAAAGCCAGTTTTGAGCTATCGTCCCAACGGAATTGAAAATACACGTTTTTCGTAATCTAGGGACTTTTTCACGATTATCGAGGGAAGTAAAAAAAGTTTGCAAAACAAAAACTACTATGCACATGGCGCAGGAAACTGTGTCCGGGAGACTGCGCTATGCAGGTTTACTTAAACGCAGTTCTGTGCTGCCCTACTCTGCGCGGTGCTATTAAATTATACTGAATACAGAAACCTATACTGTTCTGCCCTGCGTCGCCCGTGTCACAATGTGCAGCCGGCTTAAGTGGGCACCAAACATAGGTTAGGTTGAAAATGAGTGGGATGCTCTCATCACCTTCCACTGCGACCCAGATGGGGCTCATGACTAACTTATAGTTCACCGTATAACAACCACTCCTTTTAATGAAGGCCATGGTTGAATTGGGTGACTTGTTTAAAGTCGGTAGGCTCCAAAGCGGAGAAGGCACATAAAATGTGCTCTGCAGATTCATCTTCCACGCTGCAGAATCGACAATCCGACATTTGTTGCAGACCTATCCTCATAGGGTGGTAGTTTCATTTGAAACTCGATCGAGCGAACGTCAGGGAGACGAGAAGTGATATCACAATAAGCATTGAATCAAATTAAAGAGTAAAAAACATAACCTCGCTTTTTCGTGATTCTTGTTTTTGGTTTGTGTCAAAACAGTAAGCAAAAAGTGAAGAAAATGGAAAAGTAATAAGGGGCAATGGTCCTGAAATGCAGGATATACCATAAATGCCCGCTTCCCTTGTATTTTCCAGACATTTTATTTTTTTATAATAAATTTTTACAAAAAGACAAAAACGGCTAAGTAATTTGTTGACTTCTTGTCTGGTTTTGAGATTCAAGTTTGTTTGTAGGTTGACTAAAAAGACATAGGTAGACAAAGACAAATTTCTCCCTTTTCTCAATCCTGTTGCTCGGAGAACATCGAGTTCGCTCCAAAGCGAAACAAACACTTTTGGGATCGCTCGGAGTGTCAATTCAAACACGTTTGCAGCGCTAGGAGATCTCCGATGATCAAATCAAACGCACATGTGGTTGCCCAGTCGGCAGTGTCCTGTCATTAGTCCCGTGAGAACGCATCTTTCCTACTCACATACTTTGATTACTATATGAGGCAAGAGAGAGGTCCGACACGCCCAACATTGGGCGCGGCCATTTTGAACCCTGTGACACAGTTTACAGCTAAAGAATCAGATCGCTCACTCTGCGTCGGCACTTTGGATCTCAGCAGAAGCGGATGATTAAAACGCACCTATTAAAAATATTGCGCCAAGATGTAGGCAACACGTAATAAGGGTTCAAAATGGCGGAGTTTTCTATCTCCTTTTAAAAGGCACTCAGAAAGCTGCGACCATTCTCCGTATAGTAAAAGAAAATCAAAGTATGTGATCAGATCGCTCTCTGCGTCGGCACTTTTGATCTCAATGTTTCAGTTTATACACTGTGCAACTCGGATAATACAATATATGACAACCGCCTATAATAAAACAGCAGTCTTCTGCGTATCCTGAATTTGTATCCCTGGAGTGGATGTTATTTTGGAACTTTCAACTGGTCCGAGTGAGCTAACTGATTCTTTAGCAATAAACTGTGACTTCAAAAATAGTATTCACAGCAGCAAGCAAAATATCAGGTGCGTTTTAACTATCCGCTTCTGCTTCCGGAATTGTCGGTTTAACCTGTCAGATTAAAACAAGAAAACCGACAATTCCGAAGTAGAAGCGGATGATTAAAACGCACCTATTAAAAATATTGCGCCAAGATGTAGGCAACACGTAATAAGGGTTCAAAATGGCGGAGTTTTCTATCTCCTTTTAAAAGGCACTCAAAGAGCTGCGCAGTGCGACCATTCTCCGTATAGTAAAAGAAAATCAAAGTATGTGTTCCTACTCCATTCTCGGATCTGAGCAGATGAGTTCAGTTCATAGAAGGGTGACACCCAACATAATTCCCTTTTGGTAAAGGAATAATAAAAAAAATCTTTAAGCCATGAAGTTATATTAATTAGCATACACATCAATATAAATCACAAACTTATCTACTAAATGTAACGAAACTAAAAATCTAACCGCTAGGGATCTTTAGACAGCCGGCGACAATAACATGCTGTATTGACGGTTTGTGTCTAAAAACTTTCTATTGACATATATGTTAATTACCCAGTAACATCCCATCAAAAAATACCCCTCAATTTTTTACTCACTTTATAATGCGTTTCAATATTAATGATGATAATAGGGGTATGATTTGGAACAGTCTGTACATTACAGACTAAAGTTTTTCTGGGTTATTACTGTTCAAAAAAGAAAAAAAAGTTGGGTACAACCTCTATACTTTGCATCAAATAAATGCTCCCTTTTCACAATATAATAAATACATATCATATTATCGGGGCACTATTACAAAATACATTCAATATATTATTTCATATTTCATGATTATAATTAAGAGCTAGTGCCTAATAATAGTATATTACCTCTAAAGCTATCTACTTGATACAATAATAACCACCGTTTAAATATTGTGAAAACCAGATGTTACTTAGTAAATTCTCAATAAAATTCACCATAAAAATCAATGTTTTAAATTGACCATTTATAACTTACCATATTTTTCCAATTTATTAGGATGTTTTTGTTATTTGCAACTTTCAATATAAAATGTGTGCATTTAAATTTTCATTCCAACAATTTAATGCCTTCCTATTATTAGTTTGTTTATATTACACGAGAACTTATATTTTCCATTAAAATGACTTTATTCCAAAATTATTTCTTTTGAGTTTTTTTATTAGACTGAAAAACGATTTTGGAATGTGGATATCAATGGTGGATAAAAATTGGTGAATTTATAAGCAGACAATTTTTTTAACACGTAACATCTGGCATATTACTAATATCACAGACTAATTTTAACTTTTTAGCCCGTCAGTATTAACGAATATTAGTAGGAAAAGATTTAAACCGTGTGATGCACCATTTTGTGTGTAATTTATAAAAACTATACACACATACAATTTGCACACCAAGAGTTCACAAAACGAAAACTCAACATAAATATGTAAATTGATTCTCGAAAAAAACCACTAATTCTATGCAAAGTATAGCTTGTAAAATTATGTGCTATCCTTCTCTTTGCATGCTTCTGGTCACTTTTCAGACACAATAATTTCTCAAAATGAAAATGTCCCACTTCTTATTAATTTATTAGTCAGATATCTTATTTTTACTTTACATATTCTTTACCTCTTTTTGTAAAATCTTGATTTTGTTGATTTGTAATGTCATTAGTCTAGTAAGCGTCCCCTTTGTCACAAACCGTTATTTTAAATAAAAAAACTTAAAAACAAGCTTAGTGATTTTTAAAAGCAGAGTGACACTCATCGTCAGATTTACTCAAAATTATTTTTTTATCTATATTTTTTTAAATCTATAAAAGAAAAAATAAAGTGAAAAATAATTAATCACTGATAAGTTATTTTCTTTTATTAAAATGTTAAAATGTGTATTCCTGGCAAATTTTTAGGAAACGTACATGGTTATAAATTTTAGATTAAATTTATTTAGATATATTTATTGCTTCTACATTTTCTTCATACTACTTGATAGAATAAAAACATAGCTTTTAAAATCACTGTATTTTGATCTGAAATTTTATTAAATGTAATTATTGATCTGAAAAGTGACCAAAAGCAAAGGCCTTAATTATTATACCAAGAACAAAGTAAACTAACATCGTTAGTTAAAAACGATTTAAGTAAAGAGTTTTACCAAGAGAAGAAAGCTTATGCAACAGTCGCGAACTTTAAAATCTAATTCATAGATTTTGTCACGACAGAAAAAAACTGCCTCAAAATTATAGAATTATTAAGACATAGGAAAAAGTGGATCATAAATCCACATTTTGTTTAGATATTTGAGTTTGAGGCGTTTTCTGACTTTATCCCTTTCTGTGTTCATTTCTTGGTCATGATTTTAAGGTATTCCAATGCGTGGTGGGCAGCTGAAGATTTAGCCTCCTTCGGGTTCTTGCCAATTCCATAGCAGACAGCTACAGGTAGGGTGGAAAGTTGCACCAAACACTGGTGACGTCCGCTCAATGATTTCTCTTCAATGTCAACATATGTCACTTCAAAATTTTGTTCAGTTGCTATGTCTTGTAGGAACTGGACAAAATTGAATTCCTTGGCACTCATGGCAACAGTCTAAAAACAAATATATAGTTTAGAAATAATTTTACAGAAGAGTAAATAAATTATGCCGTTTAAACTAGAACTCTCTAAAATCGATCTTGCCGATATTTTTTCAAATTGTAATATTAAATTCATTATTGGTCAAATAAAGTAATACTACTTTTCAAAGTAATACACAGTGGGAAAATTTCAGAAATATCTAACAGAGTTGCCTTCAGAGATAACAGGAGATGTAGCTATCCATTGATAAAATATAATATCCGTGACGCCAACATCGAATCGGTCCAATTTTAGATCAGGAGTGGAGATACATGTGTTGTTAGGTAAGGGAGGGGATACACTGAAGGATTTGAGGGCCGTACATTTGTTAGTCATAGCAAAGTGTTAAATAAATTCCATTGGCGTACCATTAAGAACGGAATAAATTAGATTACATAAAGTGTGAAAGATTTTCAATTTTATAATTAATACAGATATATTAAGGTAGTTCACTCGTAAAACGGCTTTTCTTAAGAATTCAATAAAATTTAAATATATGGTTTATGAAAGTGTCGTTTACGTAACTAAAAAAAAAATCGATTTTTTGACCGTCTGTGAAACGAGATATTAACAATCAAAATGTGCATAATTAACACTCTTGAAGCCTATCATGTACACAAGCAATGCATTTATTTCAATATATCTCGAAAACGGTTCTTACCATATTTTTTAAAAACTAATGTTAAATAAATCAAGAAATTATCAAATTTTATAAATAATAGCTGAATTTTTTGACCGTCTGAGTAAAAAGATAATAGATTTTTAAAGCAGTTGACGAGTAGTTTCGTAAAATTATTACAACTTAGCAACATTGTAGCCACTTCACGTATCAAAGTAACACTCGATCAGCTAAGAGGTTGTTATAAACTCGCGACGTATTCTTGAAAAATTAATTCGTCCACTGTGTTTGAGAACTGGAATCAGCGGTTCTGTTTGAACCAAAACAAACCCTTAAAATTAGTATGAGGAAGTCACAAATTTCTATACCATATCGTTTAAATGTTTGCGAGTTTGCCGGACGAAATTGATTAAAATTATAACTTGTCCATATGTGTTTATATACATGTGTTTTGTACAGTCTCTTACAAAAATAAAATTGATTAGCATTGAGAATCTCGAACTTTTGGTATTCTCTATTACGCGATATTTTTATGTACGACTGTCGCGAGTTAACTACCTTAAGCAGTAGTACAAATATTTTTTCTGCAAAATTAAAATTGGTCAAGTGAGTTTTTAATGCATCAGCGATATATAAATTTAAGACATTTAAATGTATCTTTTTGCAGATGATACGATTTGTATGTTTCTGATTATTAGTGTTTAATCGGCACGTACAAAAGTTATCTAAATAAAAAAAAAAAAATATTTCTATAAAATCTTAAGAAGCGTCACGCCATAAAATTCACAGAAATTCACAGTATTTATTTTACAATAAATTACCTTTCGGTTGTTGAACATTATCAAAATTTATTTATTTGTTTACAGTACGCTACAGATATATAAAGTTCTATATGGTACATTTAAAATATCAATTAAAATGAAATAAAAAAGAAATTAATAAAATTTTCACAGTATAAAAATGAAGTCAATAGTGTAATGAAAGTTGACACTTTAAAGAAAAGAAACCCGTATTAAAAATGTCATAATTTGAAAAATAATTGTAATTGGACATCAGTCTATCTACAAATAAATTCTGTCCATACTTAATTCTGCCAGTATTTACATGCCTAGTAAGTCTGGCAGGAACAAGGACTTTAATAAAATGTACCAGGCTGTCACTATCATACAAACCGTTCAATAACTTATACAGGAAAACAAGCGCTGCTTCTCATCGTCTGCATTTCAAACTCTTTAAGTGCGCACAACAGATTTGTGGTTTGGTAATCTATATTTTGCGATGGAAGCCTATGTTTCTATAGAAGATACTTCGAAAATTTATTTTGCACTCTTTCTAATTTATCAATATTACAATTGTAGTTAGGTTCCCAAATCACTGAGCAGTATTCTAAAATGCTTCTAACTAAGCAGTTGTAGAGACTCTTCAGAGCTGCCATGTCATAAATGTGCTTGGTATTTTTTTTGACAAAGCCCAGCAGTCTAAAAGCTCTATTTACTATTTCTTCCAAATGAGGAATAAACGATAGGTCCCTGTTAAAAATAACACCAAGATCATTTATAGTTTGCTCAACACTTAGTTCAGAACCTGCAATGACATTATGCATAATGATATTAGATGTTTTATTGAACCTTACGACTTTACATTTATCGATATATTCAGTTTAAGCAAGTTATCGTTGCACCATTGAACCAAATTGCCGAGATCTGATTGTGATTGAAAGGTCATTGACGATTTTTTAGGTCATCTGCATATAGGAGGCAACTGGAGTTAATAAAACAAGTTGTTACATCGTTAATAAAAAGTATGAACAATATAGGTCCTATATGCGAGACTTGTGGCACACCTGCTTGTACCAAAATTTCGCTAGATGTGAAACTCTCTGACGACGTTCAGGTAAAAAGGAACGAATAAACTCAAGATAGTTGCCGATAATACCCATCCTCTCCAATTTATCTAACAGCAAGGAATTACAAACGCTGTTGAAAGCTCTAGAAAGATCAGTGTAGATAGAATCCACTTGTTTGCCATCCTCTATTGCAGATAAAAGAAACTGCTGATACTTAGCAATATTAGTAGTTTCTGATCGCTTTTTGAAAAAGCCATGCTGTTGTGGTGCACTGTAACGCCGAAAAGACATAAATATCTCATCTGTTATTATAGCCTCCATGACTTTAAGAATGCTGGATATAATCGAGATTTCTTGATAGTTTGAAACATTAGATTTGTCGCCGGATTTAAATGTTGGAACTAAGTTAGAATATTTCCAACGTTGGGGAAAGAAACCATTATCAAAACATTTTTTGGAATAATTGACATAGAGGAGTAGAAAGTGAGGATTGACAATTTTTTAAGAAAATGGGAGGAATGTCATCTGGACTAGGCCCTTTAGAGACATCTAACTGAAGCAAGTGAGTGTTGATCTCTTCTTCAGTGAAAACGCGACAGGAAAGATTACTAGAGAAATCAGTAATGAGGTTAGAAGAGGTAGCAACATTGTGTTTATTGTAACAGGACTGAAAAAGAGATTTGCCTCAACTATTTTTTCAGGGTCATAAATTAATTTGCCATTAGATTTCATTTGTTTTGGAATGTTTGATGAGTCTTTACGTGTAGAGTTCTTATATATGACCAGAAGTGCTTGATATTATTAGGAATCATGTGTTCCATGTTAGAAGCAAAGGTAAGATAACATAAATCAGTGCGGTACTTTGCGCCGTGCATTAGAATATAACTCAGACCAAAGTGCTTATATTTTTTAATAGTCTATTTTGGAGAAAATACATTTTTCACTGTCAAACCATTTTGGATATTTAATGTTTTTTAAAGTCTTTTTTGAGACAAATTGATTAATGGCTTGAGACAAATTGATTAATGGCTTGAAACAAAATGTCAAAATTTTTCAACTCAAAAGTATTACAGGGTTGCCAAGCAGTTAATTTTATGTGATATAAAATGATACAGACCCTAAATAAAATTATCAGAATTTAATTGAAACATCTCATAAATATGGCTCCTTCATTTTACCCAATTTAAATGCATATCATTTTAGCATTAAATTCATTATACATTTGCCTATCTAACGATACCATCATGTTAGTCGTATGGCCAATGACGTTAATAAACGTCCAAACTTCTAAATGTTCGTATACCGATGGGCCAGAGAGTGTAGTTGGCATTAAAGCGAGGGCAGCGAAAGCGTTTAAATTGTTCAGATACAGTTATACAGGGTGTCCCGAAATTAGACGGTCATATTTTAACAGCGTAATCTACATCCAAAAATAGGAATAAAAGTTCATATAAACATAGGTCCGAAAACGTTGTTTTCGAGATACAGGGTGTTACAAGTCCTGATGGCACATTTTTGTAAATATTTTCTAAAATTTCTTTAGTCACCAGTTTTCCAAAGTAAAAAAAAATAAAATTTCTGATTTCACAGGCCTACTAATTATTGTTTACACTTTCAAATAACTTATCATGAAATTTTCAAATGCTTTTTTCTTGAAAATGGTACGTCCTAGCGAGATGCAACAGAAGTAGCTTTATTATAAAGAAAACATTGGTTTTCCAAATTTTATAGTCAAAAATGTTAAAAACTGTCAACAAAAAAACCTTAGGGCAATTTTACCCTAAGCCCCCCCTAATTTACCCACCTATGAAGATGATCCAAAAATTGTGGTTTAGTCCATTAAATAGATCGTAAAAAGGTAAGCATTTGTACCAAATTTCACTTAGTTATCTTTAAACGTTTAGAAAATATTTACAAAAGAGTGTCATCATGACTTCACTTTTAACACCCTGTATCTCGGAAAAGAAACGTTTTCGGACCTATGTTTATATAAACTTTTACTCCTATTTTAAGATGTAGATTATGCTGTTAAAATATGACCGTCTAATTTCGGGACACCCTGTATAACGTTGGCTTAACATGCAAAAATATTCAAAATTAAGACTGTAAAGGTAGTAAGTCCTATAAAATTGCCGTTTACTTTAATATCTAGAAAATAATACATATAGGTCCTGTTACTATTTTTTTAATACCTACGAAGTTTTTCACTTAAATTATTACGGCGCAACAAATAAAACGGTTTTTTCAGCATCCTGTAAAATTTCTATTTTGGAACTTACGACATTTGTATGTTAAGCCGACGGTATACTGATTGCATTGTATGAGAACGATCTCTTGTAGATAGTTGTTCTATGTTTAGGTATAAGAAGGTTAGTATTCCTAGTATTTGGTTATGAACATTTGAGCTGTTTTTTTTTTTTCTAAAATATGTATTATTTCTTAGCACTTTGTGTACTATGAAGTTTTCGTCTATTAAACATATTTAGCCACCCAAATTCTTTCAGTTTG